TGTAACAATGACACTTTTTGAAAATCTTCCCGCTCTCCCGCCTCGTAGCTGTCTTTGTCTTCAACAGTTAATCATCTCGAAAACATTCTGCTTCTGAGATGTTTCGAAAACAGACTGGCAGCATAACAATGGTGCCCGAGCGCTAATGTCTTTCAAATTAGGGTGATGCATGTCAAGAAGAATGGATCCAATATCCATTCCGGTGAACTAACTAACATTAAGTTATGTTCGGCTTGCTGCCTTTTGGCTCAGTGCAGAATTATTTGGCACTCATTCTGACCAAAAAAAAAAAAAAAAAAAATTGGCACAAAAATCTTTCACACATTTTCCACAATGGCACTATAAGGCATTGTCCTTATGTATGTGAATATAATCAGACTTTTCATTTTGCCCTTCAGGTTGTTCCTTGTGACAAATGAAAGGAGTGTTCCCAATCAAAATACATCACTTTACTTGAGTTGATTTTTTTTTTTTTTAGCGTGTATGCTGTCAGTCCATTTTTTTTTCTCTGAGATGTAACAGAGGTAAAATTGAAGTTTTAAACAAAAAAAAAAAAAAAAAGGAAAAAAAAAGTTATTACAATGTCATGAACATGTTGTAATGTACCAGCACACTCCCTTCGGTGTACACTTCCTAAGCAAGTGTTCAACCCTGCACATTAGCCAAAGAATCAGAAAAGAAACACAATTTATACTTGTTTAACAGGATACATGGTGAAACATATCCAACATGGACGTGAGTTCTTGGGGGATGAAGAAGTCAACCAAGTTCATGGGAGGTTACGAGGGTCAAAAAAAAAAAAATTAAAAAATACAACACACCCCCAAAAAAACGGCCACGGTTGAGCCACAAGAATCTTCTTTTCTCAGATGAAAGTTGTCAGAAATACTTTTTTTAAGCCATTTAAAGGGCGAGCACCGTATCAGGTGCTCATCAAACGGAAACGCAAACCAGTGATATCGTGTCGGCTGTTTGACACACTGAGGCGCTGGTAGGTTGGGGCAAAGCAGCCTTTAGTCAGTCCGTCGTGTTTAGCCGTCCTATAGCCTTCTCGTTGAAAAGGTCTCCTTTGGAGGCCAACGAATGTCCGGAACACGTGGAGTGAATATACTTTTTTTTTTGGAATGAGACAGTAATGCATTTTGGCATTCAGATATGGAGCAGGAAATGCGATACAGTCGTGAGGGCTGGAAGTCGTAGAGAACCGACACACCAATATAACGCATGGAACTCGGACTTTGGCGTTCTCCATCGAATTGTTTTCCTCCATTTTTTTTTGTCATGTTGAGGTCGCAGAGAGAATCATCATTTTGCTGGTGCTGGTTATGCCTCTCACACCTGACTGTACGTGTTCCGTTTGTGCCTTCAGCTCCCAAGAGAGAGAACCGGCTCGACCAATTTTGTGGATTTTCTCATTTTTAAAGACACGCTCAACAAAAGGGTAGATAGAAAAAGACAAAAAGCGTAGCTCCTTCATGGTCTCTCTCGCATGTTAGTTCAAAACAAAGCGTCTCAGTGATTGGCACAAACTTCTGCCGAAGGGAATGTGAAGGACAACGCTTTTGAGAGAAGAAACAACGGGGCTCACTTCTCGATTTTTTTTTTTTTTTTTGTCGGAGACTCCAGCCCTTTTCCATCATTCGCCCGACAGGATGAATAAATAACAAACGACATCAGAATAAAACAAAAAAATGGGGGAAAAAACCCAAACAAAAAAAATAACAAAAACGGTTTGCTTCATTTTCACACCTACTATGATCGAAGAATCAGTAAAGTGCAATTATGCATCATCAAACAAACAAGATCATGTTAACAGTGGATTCGATATTGGGGTCAAACGTATCTGGTTCATGACAATGGCCGTGAGAGGCCTACCTGACTATAGCTGAAATCTGACATAGATATTAACTCTACATGTTTGTGACATTCCTGCCCTGATGTTTTTTGTTTGTTTTTTTTTTTTTTTTTTTTACATTAAAGACTGGTAAAAATAAAATACAAAGTAATGGTTACATTCATAGATTTTCGAAGTAGGCTTTCAAGCTGTGACAGAACCAAGAAAAAAAAAGTGACAGGTTATATGAGGTTCAACCCGTTTGTTAAATAAATGTGTCTACTTTCTATGTGTGTCTGATATCGTGAAAAAGAAAAAAAAAAGACAAAACAAGGAGCCGGTTACAGTTTCAAGTTTGCTTGTTTTGTTTTTTTCCTGGACCTATAAAACATGTCTGGAGATATCAACTTTAATCTGAGATATGGGTGCTGTGTCAGTGCTGTTTTTTTTTTCTGGGCCAACATGACAAGAATAAACTCCTTTCCAAATCACGACACGAAAAAACACAACTTTTAGAAACATGAGGCGAGTAAACTTAAGTGCTCTACTTTGGACCACATGCAATGTTCTGAATGTTACGTACGAGTCACCTCGTAAATTTTTCCGAACTGGGTTTTTTTTTCTTTCTTTTTTTTTTTTTTTCTTCTCCAAAAATTGTCCTTGATACCATGCATTAGAAGACGTGCAAAAAGATAACACCTAACTCCACAACACATTTTTGATTGTTAATAATGGCTATGTTATGAATGCTTATCATATGTAATGCTTAAAGTCCATGCTGGCCAATAAGAGACATTGTGAAAAAAAAAAAAACAGCAGTACTTAAGCCACAGGTCAAACAAACACGCAAGGGATGCATGGCGTGTAAAAACAACATGGATCCATTAAAAAAAAAAAAAATCACAATCTTTTTCCTCTTATTCTATGTACCTATGGGATATAAAAACGATGCACAGACAGTTTCTTTGTCCTTTTGTTTTCTTACATCATGTGTTTGATTATCTTTTTCTCAACTTAAAAAGACAGCGTTTGGTTGGCACTTGATCAGCACTTCTAAACAAGTTATTGATATCTAACAATTGATCGCACACCTACAATTTCAGAAAGCTGCGGGAGGTCTAGTTTGGCACAGGTTGTACTATGAAGTCTATTATTACTTTTACAATCTGATCAATACCGCGTCGCATCCTGTACACCTCATTGGATGCTCCCCGCATCTTAAGGAGCACGTTTCTAATCAACTGACCAGACATCTTTTCAACTAAAATATTTTTTTTTTGTATAGTCGACTTATCAAATAGCAGCATCTTCATAACTTACAAAAAAAAAAAAAAAAGTAGTACATGTAAACCTATTCATTCAAAATTTTTTAGTAACTTCAAAGGTTCATACAACGGACATAAAACACAAAAACAGGACAACATGCTACTATATTGCTTCCAATATTCTTTACATTTTCTTAACTGTCAAACTAAATAATCCGTGACAGAAATATGGACACCACCGGTTGATGAGTCATCATAATGCACAAACAAATCGCAAAGCTAATCTTAATCAGGCGTAGTTGGCACTCTCATCATCCGCACAAGTATAACATAGTTCACATTGTATCGACAACGCTGGACTGCATTTAGACTACAAACTAGAATAGCTACAATAAAGTACATATAGATCATATGACGTGACATATTGTATTCCACAGAAATGAATTCTCGTCATTTTCAGATCAGAGGATATGCATAAAGGATGTCATTGTTTCAGCTTTGAGGTCACAAACAAGTTCCCCAAAAACGTGCTTTCGATTTTACTTGCGCCTTCTGTTCGTTTTGTTACGAGGCTGTGACATGAGCTCCATTTGTTTCGGCTGACATATGAATATTCATGAATGCTCAACCAATATCTGCTCTCATCTGGGGGGGGGGAAAAAAAGTCTTTTTTTTTCCCACTTTTTTTTTCTAGTCTTCCCAAATCTGACTCGTTCTTGTTTCTACACTGAATTGGACACGTTGAAATAAAATTGCTGGTTGGGTCTAGGAGTGGGTGTCACAGTTTTGGAGGCGGGTGTATTCTGTGCATTTTTAAGCCTTTGTCAACTCTGCAGCCTGGCAAAATGAAGTTTTATTACCCTTCGACCGAGTGCATAACTCCCACCAGCAGCACACCCAACACCGCTCATGAGAAGACGAGACAGGAAAAGGGAGAGAGGGAGGGAGAGAGAGAGAGAGAGAGAGAGAGAGAGAGAGAGAGAGAGAGAGAGAGAGAGAGAGAGAGAGAGCACAGTGTACTGTACAGGAGTCTAAAGCACAGAGAGCTATTCGGTCACAGGTGCAACCTAAGAATGACGACAAACGACGACATGCAGGGCGGGGGTGGGGGGGAATAAAATGTTGAGTGAAAGAGGAAAGTTAATGAGGTGCAGAGAGAGCGAGACAGAGAGAGAGAGAAAGAGAGAGAGAGAGAGAGAGAGAGAGAGAGAGAGAGAGAGAGAGAGAGAGAGAGAGAGAGAAAGAGAGAAAGAGAGAGAGAAAGAGAGAGAGAGAGAGAAAGAGAGAGAAAGTGAGAGAGAGAGAGAGAGAGAGAGAGAGAGAGAGAGAGAGAGAGAGAGAGTAGTATTTGGCACTGTTTTGACCAGAGGTTTGAAAAATAGCTCCCTGCAATGAAGCAGTCCAGTTGCATTGCCAACCCCCCCTGTTTTGTGCTTGTATTTTACTATACGCTAAAAGACCGGGCAGTACAACATTCTACTCGATAATTATTTCACATGTAGCCAGATTGGTACTGAAGGACTTTGGAGTCATCCAGGAAAAAGAGAGGCCTCACTGTGGCAATGGCCGAAGAAAATATTCACACAGACATTCCAATTGACTTTCGGGAAATGCTATGAATTACCGTGAAAACGTGGAGGGACAACAGACTCGGGGGTCCAATTTCTTTTTTTTTTTCTTTCTTGCATACGACTCAGCTGTGTGGACAAACCTCTCACGGCGGTGTGTTCAGGCAGCTGATCATAGTGATTTCGATCGAAGGGGACGATTGGAAGATGTCCTAATGGAGGGTGTGTGTATGTGTGTGTGCATGTTTCAGATGTGACATAATTTGGGAGAAGAAACACATACGTGTGCCGATTACAACGCGTCCTCGAATTTTAAGAGCAAATGTGCTTGTGCTGACGGTCTTCATGAAACATTTGGAAGATAAATGCTTTGATGGAGATAGTCCCGCTTGGTCAGTGTTGCCATCTCTTGTCTGTGGAAGATAGATGTGCACGTGAAAATACACACTCACACACTCACACGCATCCCAGAAGTGACAGGCAAGCCTCACATTGTGTTCTTAATGTCTCACAGTGCAGTCTTCATCGACCAAGAGTACTCAAGATGAACACAATGGCTAGCAGCGCAGAGGGAGGCCAAGGTACTTTTAGTGCTTAGAAATGCTCTAAATAGTTGGCCCCCTCCGCTTTCGATTCACTAATATCCACGAAAGACAGCGATCCCAAAATATTTACGTTTCATTACATACCCGCCCAAAAGTTAGTGGCGAGTCAGGCATTTTGGGAACGATAAAAGGCGGCCCGGATGAACTGAAAGAATCGTTTGGATGCAAATTGAGAAGGATGGCTCACACGGAAAACTGTGACCGAGCCTTCTTTTCAAGTGTCGCTCTATTTTCCTTTCATTCGAGGATGCCTCTGAAGAATATTTGGTACCCTTGTCGTAAAGGCAATCGTTTTGTTTGTTCACAGATAAACGATCGGGACAGCATTCTGATCAAAATGCTGTTTGGTAGTGCTTTTTGTTCCCTTCGCACTGAACAGGGGACATTCCAACTTGAGCGCGAGTCGGATATTTCCGTTCATTCTTGAGAGATGCGCATATGACAATAAGGCAAACCGCCGTCGGCTATATTTTGGCCGCAGCCAATTTCGAGAAGAGTACACGGGATAGGCCTGAGACCTTAACACTGGATCGCAAAACTGACGTCAAGGCTTCTCATCGTGTTACGGCGTGGCTCGCATCTTCTGGGCTACTCGCGGCTGGGCGAAAAAAATCAGCCAAGCGGGAGCGGGTCATAATGGGGAACGTACTGTAATATCGCTAATCCGGTAGCACCAATAAAGGGTTAAACAAGAACCTACTTCGGGGTGTTTGTTGCCATGACTGGATCGACTGTATTTCAATGTTTGTGCATTTATGGGAGTGTTCGCTATGTGTTTTCGTGTTCAATATATTGATACATTCCTGTGTGTCTCCTCTATCCTCTCACGTGGATTATTGAGCCCCTGAACTATATTCGCAGACTGCACCTGTGAAGTTCAGACCGGGGCTTGACTTGTACATTTCTTTCACTGCAAAACATTTGATCCCTGGTAAATAAAAAATATCAATAGGCAAATATTTTTTTTTTGTTACATTCAGATCAACCTGCATTCACAGGTTTAAATATATATATTTTTAAATTGAATCCGATCATATTCATAAATAATGGAGTAAAAAAAAAAAATTGTTTGAAATTTCAATTCCAATATAAGGTTTCAACCAACGCCAACGTTGGTGTTAAGTAAATTATTTGCTTCCCGTAAACTGAGGTGGCCTCAGGTGCTTGTTGTTAAATGGCTCCGCCCATAAACAGTGCTTTCTGCAATGTATACAAAGAGAAAAATTTGTGAAACAGCCCCATTAGTTGGCTCTAACTTCACTGGACACATTCAACTCACCGGGAGCTGAGGTCTGCAACTGACATCAAAACCATTGAAACAAGATTTTTTTAAAAAAACAATAATAACTCAAAGGAAAGTAAATCAGCAATGAGGTTTTAGAGGAAGGTGAAACCATACGCCTCACCCTTGAATCTGCAGCTTGGCAGTGGACCAGTTCAGCTTACTCTGATCACCATCATCAGAAAGGACTCGACACAAACTTTTAAAAAACATCAGAGACCACATCAGTCCTAAAACATATTAAAAAAAAAAAAAAATCACACACACACTTGTCTTCGGTGTCTCCCCCCTCTCCTCCTCCTGTTTGATCCTCTCATTTGATTCGGAAATATTAAACAAATATTTGGACGTTTCTCTTTCTTCCTCATTGTGACCCTCTTAGAATTCCCCTCTAGCTCTGTCCTCATCTTTTCCTTTCCTTCCTTTCTTTCTCTCTTTTCCTCTTAACCCACTTTTTGCGGGTTGGTAGCACGCACGCCCTGCTCATAGGTGATCCGCTGGCTGATCAGATACTGCGCTGCTTGTGTAGCTGCTGGCGACCCTGTTATGGTGACTTTACGGTTCCGAGTACCAGGAATGAACTCCCCCTTTTTGGAGATCTGGATGCGGGCTCCTGTTAGCTCCTGATACTCCACCAGCGTTTTTCCTCCTTTTCCCAAAATTGCACCAACCAGATTCTCGGGTACGGCAATTTCAACCACGTCCTTGGCTCCGTCAGCGAGCTTCTCTGTTGCTAATAGGGAGGAGGCCATCAGTGGAGATGAAGCGTTTAGGTAACCATTGGAAGCACCTGTAGCAGCTGCGAGAGAACCGAGGGAGAAACCGCCAAGCCCCGTCGCCGGGTGGCCAGCACTGCTGGAGGCGTCGCTAGCATAGGAGGCTAAGAGGTTAGCCGCAGCAGCGGCCGCCGGGTTGGCACTCGCCGCTACTGCGGCAAGGACACCAGAGGCTGCTGCGGGGTTAAGGCCCAAGCCCAAGGTGTTGGTATTGTAGCCATAGCTGGCCAGCGTGTTGAGGGCTGACGTGATGGCCAGGAGGTCGTTGCCAGAGAAGCTAGACATGGCAGCAGGGAAGGCACCCATTCCTGTCAAGCCCGCCTGGCCCAGAAGGCTGGAGGCAGTGGCAGCCGCCGCAGCCGCGTTAGGCAGCACCTCGGCCGTGTTGGCGTAGGGGGATCCGGTGGGGTTGGAGTTAGCAACTGGGCCGGAGACGTTGGAATAACTGATGTTGAGGCAGCTGCTGCTCTGAGGGTCCTCCTGGATTTTTTGAACTATGATTTCCACTGCCTTACGGTTCTGCTCGGGCTCGCCACTGATTGTTACCACTCGCTCCTGCAGGTTGATGCCCTCCGGTTTCTGGGAGAGCTGCACCCAAGCACCTGACTGCTCCATCACTGCTTTCACTGTGGCTCCTCCCTTGCCAATAATCAGACCAGCGGTGCTGTTGGGCACAATCAGTTTGGCCTGCAGAAAAATATACATGATATAAAGTAGCAGCAAATGAACAAGAGGACCTTTTAACAGCATAAAACAGAAGGAGGGACAGCTCTGACTGAGTCGGAGCGATGCCAGCGCCTGCTTTACTCAGCGATTTGTTAATCCTCGGGGTTTAAGCTACAGCTGTCACATGGCTCTGTCTTGCTATGAAAAACTGGAGGTAAAAATAACCACATACCCTCACTTTTTCCTGACCTTGCCAGCCTGTGGGTCATGGCCCAGAGAATGACTAACAGTGGTAACCAATATACGCGGTGTCCTAGAAGTGAACTGTGCCTACCACATAGAGACCACACACAACACAACTTGAGTCGGCACAGTGATGGACGACGTGACGACTCTCCCAAAGGCCAAACAAAAATATCTCAATTGGCCCCTCGTGGCTGGCTCCAGCATAGTTCATGATCCAGACTCTTTTTTTTTTTTTTTTTTAAACACCGTGGGGGGTGCAAAGTCATGTTGACATCAATTTCCGATGATTGGGCCCAAATGGGCCCATCCACCAATTAATACTTGCAGATTCTGGTTTCATCAACAGGACAGGTGTCAAACTCAAGGCCCGAGGGCCAGATCTGGCCCCCCACATCATTCTATGTGGCCTGCCGATGCAAATGATGTGCATCAAACGCCATATTTCTTGCTAAATACGAACAATGCAAATGGTCTTCACTTTTAAAAATGCTGAGCTATTGCAAGAATTTCGTTCCTTCCAATCCCTCTTTTAAAATAAATTTAACATTAGAAAACATTTTTAAACGAATTTAAGATTATAACTGGTCCCCGATTTCAAAACTAGTCTTTCATTGATTTGTTGCGTGTTTGTAATCTGAGACAACAATACGTTTATTTGACTTCACACTGTGAACGTCAGTCAGGATGGCCCTCCGAAGGAAACCCTAACTACCATGTGGCCCACGACAAAAATGAGTTTGACACCCCTGATCTACAGTATGTCGTCAGCAAAAAGATGGCGGCAACTTGATATGAGATATTTTCATTTTGGTTTGAACCCTTTCCGGGACAGAGGCCACTACAGTGGACAGCTGATCATGTTATCAGGTTAGAGGGTGCATGAAAGGGTTAAACAGGAGATCATGAATGTCTTCGCCATTGTTATTATACACCAAAACGGTCTTTTCCCCACAGGAACGCACCTGCTTGATACGGTCAGGGTTAACCGTGGTCTGTGGCTGCAGTATGCTGACAGGTTCTGGCTTCTGAGCACTCTGGGGCATCTCTCGGACTTTCTCTGCGATGAAGTTGTGGACACCATTGAGGGCTTCAACGGTTCCCTGTATCAGGCAGACGCGCTCTGTTGTTCCTGTGATGACAGAAGAAGAAGAGGACAAACACAAGCGATCGGGTTACTTTAATAGGTTTGGAATGGATTGATGGGATTTGGCTAAATCTACATTCATATGAAGACTTCTTGGCAATGAAAACTGTTCCTTGACATTCTACAAAGTGACCCAATTACCGAGCTATTCCTTCCTTCCCCCATTTATACAATCAACAGAGAAACAGCTGAAAGAAAGAAGCACACTTGGTTAGTGAGCCACAGGGGGCAGAGGGGGGGGAAGGATTCCTCTTCAGTGATGTAACTCTTTCACCACACTAACATTGAATCTCACTTGCCTTGCAGTTCTAAGAGGCTCAACAACCTCTGGGGGTTCTTTTGACACCCACATCGTCACGCTCAATTAAAAAAAAAAAAAAAACACACCCCTTTGTGTGGACTTTCCTGTCTTGCGCTCTCAATTTTATTGCCCCTCAAAAATCGTAGTCAGTAGATTGCATTGCACCTCCAAGGATGAATAATTCTAAACCTGCCCACATGAAAAATATTTTTGAAAGATCCTTACGGGTTGGGCAATGCCAATTCCACTCCAGTTCTGGGGTTGGCAGAAATGTGCATAATAATAGTCCATGTACAAAAATTGCCTGCGAATTGCCATACACAACAAGCAAATTGGAAAGTAAGCATTGAAGGAAAGTGACATGTTAAAAAAAAAAATAAATAAAAAAAAAAAGAAGAAGAAGGAGAATGAAACATGGCCTACTTTCAAACCTCCCTTTGGAACATATGTCTGATGAGGACATGCTTCATGTCAGCGGGCTCGTACTACAGCTGTAATATTTGAATGGAATCAGCTGGGAGAATTGGCATCGAACTCCAAACAGTTTTGGCTTTTGTGTAAACAACTGGTTTCGTAACGACTCAAATCATCTTTGACGTATTTTTCAAATAAAGAAGGATCTGGCTCCGAAGCCCATATCTTAGCCCCCCCCCAAAAAATGTGTTCTGTGATGGGTGAGGTGATAGAGTGTTTGTCGAGCGGAATAAGTGGCACAAACCCCAGCTTCTCTGAAGTCTGAAGGTCACTGAGCGTGATTCGAACCCCACATAATTGCCCTTCGTCATCATAACGTGAGTGCATATGAGTTACAAATGATGAGCAAAGTCCCACCGCTCCCTCAAGCCCATCTTTGGATGCGAAAGTGAGTGTGAATGAGACAACACGGTAAAGTAGCAAGATGTAAGTGTGGCTTTTTTTCCCTCCCCAACAGTGGAAACATAGCGTAATGAATACAAAATGTGTGCTACATTTCACAGAAGTAAAATTATATCCAGAATACCAAAAGTGTACAAAACCCGTCTGGAGAATGTTCTGTGTTACTGAAGAACAAATATCACCGGCGTATGTCAGGCAGCCTTTACACTCGGGAAAAGTGCTAGTTTGCTATCGCCCCTTTTAGAACATCTCTGGGACAGCATCACTTTCCCAGAGATCGACCCACCTTGGGTCTAAAAAGTAAAACCAGAGCAAAAGTACCTTAAACCTTCACTCTCTCTTATTGTCAGGATGTGAGAATAGCAGTGGCTGTTCTTTTTTTTCTTAGTTATACTTGAATTAATTTACAACCACGATACTTTTTCCCAATTAGATTGTGGTCTCACATATTAGTTTAAATGTTCCCCATTTCAAAGTGTTTGGAATGTGACTTCATGTCCTTATATCCTTTTTCTATATTTATCCTCTAGGGTGGCAAGTCAGCTGGTTACTGATCCCGGCTGACTTTTGACTTTTTGACATACAGTATCGACAAACAAACATTCATGATCACATTCACACCGAAAGCCAATTAGGTGTGGATAAGAGCAATAAAAACAATATAGATATGGTATACTTTTTTTTTTGGGGGGGGGGGGGGTTGGGTGTCTGCTTAAGCAGCGATAGCGTGTGATGTAGTACCCAGTATGCACGTTCACGGCATCTCAGATGGACTGGCCTGGCCTGACTGACAGATCGACGTGCCAAACACTGTTCATCCGCCACCTTGCACGCATTGGCAAAATTATTAACAACCGTTCGAATATACCTCTGCACAGATTTATGCCGCTCGCCACACTGGGCTTGAAGAAAAAGCCCAGACCGTGATTTTAACCCTTTCATGTACCAATAATTCTAACCTGTAACCTGATAACACGATAGGATGTCCACTGTAATAACCGTGGTCCCTGAAAGGAGTAAACCTTAAATGATTTTGAAAGCAAACACAGTAACTTTGTTGTCAAGTTATTGTCCAGTATGTTAGTGGAAAGCAATATGAGCATGAATGTTTGTGAGTTGGAGTCAAATCAGCAGACTCCAAGTCAGTATAATGACAGTTGCCTCCCAAAGAACTCGTTATCGGCTCACCCACCCTGCTACTTTATAGGCTCATCTACCTTGCCGTGGCAGGACCGAGGTTCAATGTGCAGCTCCCCATAATTTACCGTGTTGGCATAGGTCTGTTGGCTACATAACTGACAGCATCAAGAAAATTGATTGTTCTGGCAAAGACAAGACTGGATTATGATAAAACACATTGGCAGATATTTTGGGAATTTTGCAATCAGGTTTCAAGAATGCAAAGTCCAGTATTCTGACAACATGTACGTTGTATAAACTTATGTAGAGTATGGAAACATAAAGGGCTCTTTAAATTGGAGAAAAATTATGACTGGTCGATTGCCACTACAAAAACGTATACAGCGGTACCTCTACTTACGAACGTCTCTGGAATGACCTCCCACTGAACATTCGGCAAGCCTCCTCGCTGCCCATCTTCAAAACCCGCCTCAAAACTCACTTGTATTCTTTGGCATTTGACTCAGCATGATTTAGATTTGTTCTTGGTTTTGCTGTTCGGTGCTTTCTACCATCTTTATAACCGATTTGCTTTACTGTTTGTTGTATATGTAAAATTGTTCCATGTACAGCACTTTGTATGAAGCGATGGCTGTTTGTAAGTGCTCTATAAATACAGTTGAGTTGAGTTGAGTTGAGTCTCTTCATACGAAATTTTCAAGTTACGAAACGCCTCAACGGGAAAATATTGCCCCTAGTTATGAAAGAAATTTCAAGATACGAAAGGTAAAAATACAGTCTGTCCTTTTACTCGCAGCTCCGAGTTTCCTGAACGCAACATACTTATGGCTGCTCAGCCATTGGCTATTACCGAGCATCATCCTGGCATTCCATTGGCTAAGAGGGACTTCTACCATATGTGTCTATGTGTGTAGATAGATAGATCCGTGTCTGCAGCATCCTCGTCATTCGCCCCTCAAGCCATGAGGCGTTCCGAGTGTTTTATGTAAAAGTGAATCACCCTCAGAGAAAAGCGTTCATCAGTCGGGCGATCACTTACTGCGCTGATGTTTGCTTTGGACATTTTCGAAGATTGTTAAAAGCCAAATAAACAAACATCCTTGGATCAGTTCTTTACAAAACACCAGGCAAAAACCTTCTGAGAGTGAACATGAACTAAAGCGGGCAAAAAACGATGAGGACGCACTTAAAAGTTAAATGACCATCATTTTTATTCTTTATTCTTTGTTTTTTACATGAAGCACAACTCTCATTTATTGTGCAATAATCTAATTGTAACATGTATTTCTTATATATTTTGATACATTTTTATGCTTTCGAAACCATTTATGTCTGAATTTTGGAGGGGCTTGGAACGGATTACAGCATTTACATGGAAAACGCGTCTCTACTTACAAAATTTTCTAGTAAAGAAATTTCTTCCAGAACCAATTAATTTCATAAGTAGAGGTACCACTGTACAGTGTATTGCAATAGAGTCATTGTAATACACTACATTCTATACCCAGTTCCCCCCGGATCCGGAATTGAATCCTGCATTTTTGCACTGTGAGGCCAATTTGCTCATCAGTCGACCACTGTCCCACAATAATGAAAGTTTTATTGAAAATTCTGACAAATTTATTACCTGAGGCAAATTTGAATGCACTTGTGTCACTGGCATGGAAATTGGACGAGCTGGAGGTATTTCATTTGCTTTTAAATGCAATATACCGGTAATTTCAATCTGAGTCTCATCTCTGTTTTTACAGAGATTAGTTGCATATGTTTACATTATTTTAGTCTTGGCTGTATTTAATATCATGGTCCGAATAAATCCTCTTTTATAAAGGAACCAATTTATGCATTCATCCAAGCACAAGGCATGCAGAGAAGCAAACGAGCAGGCAGCAAATGAAACGCCTAAAGCGTTTCGGACCACAGAGACACACAGTTGGTGTTGTTGCACCTGCTGGTCATTTTTGAAGTGACAAAGTGACAGAAGGAAGGCATGCCAGCACAGGCTTTTAACCTAATATGTGCTTTTATGTCAACTTATAAATTCTTCATTATAATAAATACTGTATTTCCAAACGGTAACGTGCACAAATCACCGTTTTATGCTTTGTAGCCATGTTCAAAGAAATGCAAAATCCAGGGTGTGCTGTTCAATAAACAGTGGGTGTAATGTCCTATTAATCAGCGTCAGTTATTTTCTTTGGGTTCCATTAGTTGGGAAAAGCTATGCCACATACATAAATGAAACACTAATTGTCAAACTACACAGGTTTCACCTCACTGGGCATGAATATTAAAACATTTGTTTGTTATGGACATAATCACCTTTTTGCCTGCTGGCACATAAGCAAAAAAACAAGCAAACAAAAAAAAAAAACAATCATGCAATTGCTAGAGTAACTTGTAGTGATGATACTTGCAAGTTTGTTGCAGAGGAATACTGCAGCTGCCAAGCCGCTGTGATCATCTAAAGCAGGGGCCCCCAACCTTTTTTGCCCCACGGACCGGTTTATGTCAGACAATATTTTCACCGACCGGCATTTAAGGTGTGGCGGAAATAATACAACAAAATAATATGGTTTGAGCTGCATGAAAACTGTGGCGTTTACGAAATATAATAATAAACACAAGGAGCGTCTAATCTGGCCGCAACACTCCGATCGCTATGGCA